GGCCGGAAACTTATCAATCCACCCTCGTATTATTGGTGGCCCGATACTATAAAAATGCCCCGATCTACTGATCAATTATATTTTTCCCACGGCAAGATCAGTCAGTCAAAAGCAATTAAGAGCGTCTATTAATTAAGTGAAGTATTTTTCTCTTAATTTCTCTTTTGTAAATACAAAATTCTACTACAAGATATTAGATACAAAATAAAATAGAACTCTCATTTTACTTTTAAAAACAAACTTCATGGTAATGAAAAAATACAAAAATTGCATATTTTTCTGTCAGATTTTTCCTGGCCTGGTAGCCTGGAAAGAATGATTTTTTTGGGTACCCTGTACATCCTTCCTCTAATAAGTATATCATGTGTAACGGCCTATTATTTCGGTGTTTCAAAGAATTTATAAGCGTAAATGTATACCAGTCACTGTAAGACAACAACATGACTCATCTATTAGATGCTAAATTACACCCACTTAATTGTTTCAATTTACGTCGAGAGAAAAAATGTTTCGTTACAATAAGGAGGACCTTGTTAACAAAATGTCAAGTATTGTGCTTCCTTTGAGAACGTGTCTAATTTTTGGTATAATTTTAAAAACGAAAGAAAATGTTAGACACCCATGATTCATCCAGAACTTTGAAACTAATTTGAATGAATTTCAGCCAAGTAACTGTGGACACCATATTATGAACAGTACAACCAAATGTCTTGTCAGTAAATTGTTCAAAGTCTTCCTGGTCATGCATCTACTGATTCACGAATCGTATCTAAAGCCGGAAACATTACCATTTGTTCTCATTCGTTTCCTTTGTATATTTACACTTGCTAACGTTCCACCACGTTTCACCCATTCAGTAACAGTATCAGTAACTATTATTTATTAATTAAAATTGTGTATTGTACTGATGAGAGTACTACATGCAAATAATAAAAGTAAAACAAAAATACTGGGATGCAAGGGAAGAAAAAGCAGGGAATGAGCCAATATAAAGGTAGGAGACGAAAAATTAGAAGAAGTGGCCGATTTTAGGTATCTAGGAAGTCAGATAAGTCAAGACCGAAGAAGTAGTAGGGATATAAAGCAGAGGATAGTGCAGGGTCGAGTCGCCTACAATAAAAAGAAGTCACTTCCATGCTCGCGAACGGTTAAGTTAGAAATTCGAAAAAGATTGTTAAAGGTGTATGTCTGAAGTACGGCGCTGTACGGGTGGCAAACATGGACAGTGGGCGCGGCGGAAAAGAAAAGGTAGAAGCTTTCGAGATGTGGTGCTATAGGCGAATGATGAGGATACCGTGGATAGAGAAGGTTAGAAATGAAGAGGTATTAGAAAGAATAGGAGAATAGATGACTCTATGGATGTCAATAAGAAATAGGCGAGATAGGTTGGTAGGTCTAGTCAGAGACATATAAGAGGCAGAAAGGGAAGTTAGGAGGGGTAGTGGGAGACCTAGATTAGATTACTGTTAGCAAGTAGTTAAGGATGTGGGCTGTTCTAGTTTTAAGGAAATGCGGATTAGATCAGGATAGGAATGAATGGAGGTGCATGTCCAATCAGTCTTAGGACTGACGACCTTAGATGATGATGTAGGTACTGATGACAAATACAAAGGAAAAAAATTTATAGTGTCAACATACTGAAGAAATTCTTGTTATGTGCTATGAGTTTTGAAAAGTAGTTACTTTTCTGTTTTTCTGACCTTATGTCCTTTCCGTCGCTGTTTGATTTTATTGATAAAGACCAACCAGTCTCGTCGAATTGGACCAAATTATTGAAAATTATTTTCAACACGTCCACACGAACGCCTGCCGGAATTCGTAAACATTCGCAACTCACATTTCACCAACGAATGCAAACGAATGCGAACGAATGGCAATGTTTCTCAGGTGTATTTCCGGCATAATAACGGAATTGTAAGTAAATGTTTTTCAGCTTTCTTTATGAAATTTTTCAACGCGGTAGTCCTTAAGTATCGTTTTTTGCAAGCTTGCACACTTGATGTCTGGCCCCAAGTGCATAAATCTAATAGATTGAGATCAAGGGTCTCTCGACCACTCCTTAGGATGTCTGTCAAGCACATCACAAAATCGCAAAATGATTATGCTTTCTTCCCTCGAGGATCTTGCTGTTAAGTGTGACAGCAGGATTCGATAGGAAAAAGCTTCAAATAAACCAATGAGTTTGAAAAATGTTGCTAGTATAGTAAGATTTCTTGCCATGGTAAACAAAATTATCAGTAAAATTACTTTAATTTTTTTCCCATTCCTATGCCAAAGAGTACTAAAGTGGAAGGAAAATTTTTTATCCAGAAACGTGTAGTACTATCTTCTCATATAGGCCAAGGTGATGATTCTGATGCTGCACAATTACTTTTTTGGTAAGAATTGACCGGGAGATACCTACTGAACAACATATAGGGGTAGTTATATGTTAATAACTCGAACTGGAATTCTAGAACGAAATTGGACTAAACTATTTTTGTTCGTCGGTTAATATCCCATTAGATAATGCAAGTAAGATTAAAAATGTTTATTAAAAAGTACTGAAAAATGTATCTATTATCCAATACACTGAGAATCTATCAAGGAATAGCTTTTTTTAAAACGAAAATTTATAGTTAGGTACTTTTCCTGGAATTTGGTCGAGACCGGTGTATTAGTTTTTGCATACTTTAATTTGCAATTAAAATTTAAAAAAATTCTATTATGCCACTGTTAAAATAGCGACCTGACATCATTCTTCTTCTTTTTACGTATGATCTGAGACCTATATTTTCGTTAGCAACCCTAAAAAATTTTTTTTTAAATACCATTTTTTAATTCTCATTACATATTCGAATAAGGAATGGAGAACTAACATTTTAATTAGAAGAGTAAATTAGTACTAAAAAAGCATTAAATTATTATGTGAATCAATCGAATGCGATTTCGCATGTTTTAAATTTTAAGAACAGAAAATTGGTTTTCATATCATATCCCAAAAGATGTGAGTGAGGTTCTTTGGCATTTGCCCGTCTTCACTTGCTCAAAGTTACCAGTAAAAATTAAGAAGACCAGGATAATAATAATAATAATAATCAGCCCATTTCCGAAACTTATTTGAGAAAAATTAGGCGACTGCTCACAAAACAAAACTCAATCAATAATATTTGAAGAACAATTTCTCATCGGCTTTTATCCACCCATTTCGGCATTCATCCTTCCATTAATGGGTGACCACGATCTCAATCCATTGCATTACGCACAATGGACAAAACTGCAAGCGTTATCGTTCAATAAACGACACTCAACAATTACCGCTTTGAAAAACTCCATTAAGAAAGCTGTCAAACAATTACACCTAGATTCATGAATCAATAATCAACTTCGTCGCTGCATCGCTGATGTTGAAGGCTTCCACTTCGATTAAATTTTACACGGTTTTGTAGCTTTTTGCTTTAGCTTTCCAACAATATTTAGTTTTACTGATGTACGGATGTAAAATGGAAACAACTTACTGACAAAACTTTTAGTTAATTCCATCGGTGTTCTCAACGCCGCAGGAACGAATCGAGACGTCGACCATCTAGTCCGAATATCAAGCATTCGGTGAAAGATTTTTTTATCTTTCTTATCAAACCAACAACTTTACAAACTGAGAAAATAAGCATTAAATGAGAAACAGTGTTTTTAAATCGCTTCTTTTCAAAATGATTTCCGCAACATTAATATTTTGCAAGCATATAAAATTGCTTATGATAGATGGGTAAAAATCCCTAGATTTTTCCATTCAACATAAATTTCAATTTTCCTAGCTCACCCTTCCTGAGACGACAGAGCTTGGAGAGAATCCTAATGGAAAAGGCGAAATACCTCATTTTTCTATTTGTTTCACATTTATTTTTCTAAAAATAAACAAAAAAGACTCAGGCGAGCATTTCTACTTTTCTTAAAAGAAAACCTCTTTACTTTCTATTGTTTTCTTATAATTTTGCCAACTCTACACAATATTTATAAGGGAAATTAATTCACAGTATCTTGGACACATTCAAGTACCTAATTTGTATCTTGTGTTTAATTGGATTTTTTTTTCATATGAAGAACTTTTTTAATTTAAAAGTATTGCAATTAACTAATGAAATTGATTTTACCTATTATTTTTCCACTTAATTCTAATATGTAATGGAAATTAACCATTACAAAGTTTTCAACTTGCATTTTAAAACGTAATAAGTTTAAAAAGATAGGTCAAATAGGTACTCCTGACATTCCCTGCATATATAACAATTACCTAGTCTGTTTTCTTTTTTAAAAAAATTTTTTAGTAATTCAAAAGAAGCAAAACCCAAACCCAATACAAAAATTAATCGATAAGTAGTAGAAAATTTGACCTAAAACTTAGTAGCGATAAATGATATCAGATTTTAACATGACAGAATGTTCAATATTTTAGAAATAACCCAAAATGGTTCAAAATTTAAATAAAGAGCATTTAAAATTGTACCTATCTCTGTATTCCACTTACAAATGTTAGACCTCTTTTCCAAAGAAAATAAAATGATTTTGGTTTTCTTTTTTTTTTTGTATTTCAACCACAAACTACATGCTATATCAAAATTTCAAGCCAATTACTTTGACACAATACATGCCAAAATAATCGACAGTGACACACAAACAGACGACGATCATCACCGAAATTCACCATTCATTCATTCATTCATCCTTATTGTAGCACTTTATGTGTTTTATTTCTTCTTTTATAATTTTTCTTGTATCTTGAAAAGCATTTCGGCAAATACATTTTTCAACTTTTTGAATTTTTTTCCACATTAGATTATTTACTACACGCGCGATACCAACCCAATAACCGAAAAAAACTTGCAATTGATAACTAGAAAACCTTCGACAATGCCAGTTTTCATTCACCGGCAACAACCTTGACCGTCAAATTCACGTTCCACTCTTCAAGTCGCTCGCCGGGCAGTCCGCAATCGTTTCAAACAACCAAAAAATTATCTTACCTGAGACAAGTCCGCATCTTTCCGCATATGCTCCTCGATCGTGGTGTCGATATTGACCTCAGCGTCCGCAACGTTCGCCTGGGCACGAGCCCAGAACAGCCACAGAAAAAGTTCGAAACAAAATCGCGAACGGTAAAGCATCGTCAAAAATCCGCGATCCAACAACTCTAATGATGATGGGTACTACGTATGAAGAAGAAGTTCACCACAACACGGAGAAAGTTCAACTGAACGGCATCACGGACTATTCGGCCCCCACCATTTCGACTACAGTATAACCGCATCGCTCCCGGAGTAACCAACATGCGCAAACGAATCCGGACTCTTTGAAAGAAAATTCGACAACATACACGCTTCTTGATGTATCAGGCATTCCCGATAATAATATTTCATACGATACATTTCCACTCGGTATAACACCTACGCAGAGAGAGTTTTCTTTTCTAATAGGAAAAACTAAACGCTTAATTAATGAGTTTTTAAAGAACCTGTGGGGATGTTTAGAACGACATTTTAAAGGATATTCAATATTACACTTCTACTCTTGCTGGCTACATAGTATTATTAGCGACCAACAAGGAAGAGGCTTAAAAGAAATGCTTCAAAAATTCGTGTGTTAAAAGTGTTAAAAATTTTAAGAAAAAAAAAGTCAGAAAGAAGAGAGGAAAAGCCAGAATTCCAGTTAAAAGGAAAAATAATCGAAGAAGTGCAAAGCACTAGAATTCGTACGTACTGCAAAAAAATAATGTAGTAGATGGGCTTTAAAAAAAACTGAGGAAGACAGCGTTAGAGATAATAGGAAATGTATGGGGATGATGGGAAAGAAAAGAATGAAATTCTAATTTGAGTTAAAAAAAGAATGTTCCTATCCGAGACATCGATAGAGAGATGTGATCAGGAACCCGGTTTAGATCCGGCACTTTTTTAGAATTCGACGGAATAACTGATAATTCTCATCATGATGAAGTCGTCAGTCCTATAGCTGGTTGGACATGCACCTCCACTCTTTCCTTTCCTGAGCTAATATTCGCAATTCCCTAAACCCAACTGTGTTCATGTTTTCTATTTGAGCAGTATTAGCATCTAGCTTTAAATAAAATGGAAGCGGTACTGACAGATCACTACTGCATGAAAATAAATAAAAGAAAAACTAAAATACTGGTATGCAAGGGAAGAAAAAGTAGGGAAAGAGCGAATATAAAGATAGGAGACGAAAAATTAGAAGTGGCTAATTTTCGATATCTAGGAAGTCAGATAAGTCAGGACGGAAGGAGTAGTGGGGATATAAAGCAGAGGATAGCGCAAGGTCGTGTCGCCTTTAATAAAAAGAAGTCACTTCTATGCTCGCGAACGATAAATTTAGAAATTCGAAAAAGATTGTTAATGGTGTATGTGTGGAGCGCGGCGTTGTACGGGTGCAAAACATGGACAGTGGGCGCGGCGGAAAAGAAAAGGTTAGAAGCCTTCGAAATGTGGTGTTACATGCGGATAACGTAGGTAGAAAAGATTAGAAATGAAGAGGACTCTACGGAAGTCAATAAAAAAATAGTCGAAATAGGTTGGTAGGTCACTTAGGCATGAAGGTCTAGTCAGAGACATATTAGAGGCAGAAACAGGAACAGTTAGAAGGGGTAGAGGTAGACCTAGGTTAGATTATTGTTCGCAAATAGTTAAGGATGTAGGTTGTTCTATTTTTAGGAAAAAGTTTAGCTCAGAATAGGAAAGAGTGGAGGTGCGTGTCCAAGCAGTCTTAGGACTGACGACCTTATGATGATGATGATGATGATGATGAACTTTGGTGAAGGCGCCGGGTTATGCAATTCATAAAATACAAAAGTTCATTCAATATTTAACGCAAATTGGATAAAAAACATTAAAACCGCTTTTATAATACCTACCAATTGTCAACGAATTTCAACGACAACGAACTTCCTACCCTTTATATTGGTATTCCCATTAAAAGCAATTACTTGATAGTCAAAAGGCCTCGAAGATCAAGGTCAATGTCACATTCAATTTCGCTAATTGATTTCTCCTTCCCCTGCCTAAAAGTTTTTCCGAAATAATGGGAACCAATCAAGATATTTTTGTCTAGTTCACCCCTTTGCCCCTATTCACCTCCCCTCCTATTACAACTCTGTTAGGTGTAACGACATCGACATAAAATTGGAATAAAGACCTAATTCTTATACGAGGGTGGATTGATAAGTTTCCGGCCTGACCAAGAAAAACAAGGTTTTTAAAAATTTTTTTTTTTATTTCTCAACATAATCTCCTCCAAGGCTGATACATTTCTCATAGCGGTGTTCCAGTCTATTAATGCCATCTCTATAGACTGATTCGTCAAGCTCCTCAAAATAACCATTTACAGCTTCGATTACTTCTTCATTGTCCGCAAATCTCTTACCGCCAAGCCATTTTTTGAGATTAGGGAACAGAAAATAGTCACTCGGGGCTAGGTCTGGAGAGTAAGGAGGGTGCGGCATCAATTCAAACTTTAGATCGTTGATTTTAGCCGTCGCAACGATTGACGTGTGCGCTGGTGCGTTATCGTGATGAAACAAGATTTTTTTCTTCGCCAGATGAGGTCGTTTAATTTTCACCTCGTGGCTCAAACGTTGCAATAAGTCTGCGTAGTATTGACCAGTGATAGTATTACCCTTTGCAAGGTAATCAATGTATATAATACCTCTTGCATCCCAAAAAACAGTAGCCATAACCTTGTTCGCCGAAAAAATTGTTTTTGCCTTCTTTGGAGTTGGTTCCCCTGGTCCAATCCACTGTTTAGACTGTTCTTTGGTTTCAGGAGTGTAGTGGTGGACCCACGTTTCGTCAACGGTTACGAATCGACGCAAAAATTCGCTTGGATTACGCTTATACAATGACAAATTTGCGGTAGAAATGTTTTTTCGAATCAATTTTTGGTCGACTGTTAGCAAACGCGGCACCCATCTTGCACAGAGCTTTTCCATATGCAAATGTTGGTGCAAAATATGTTGCACACGTTCATATGACATCTTACAGGTCTCAGCTATCTCACGCACTTTCAATCTGCGGTCTCCCAGCACTATTTGATGAATTTTTTCGATCATATCTGGAGTTGTGACCTCAACGGGGCGTCCTGAGCGAGGCCCATCAGAGGTGCTCACACGACCCTTTTTAAACTCGGAAACCCACTGCTTAACGGTTGAATATGACGGGGAGGATGTCCCCAGTGTTGAGTCCATCTCTTTTTTAATTTCCTTCGGCGTTAACCCCTTCAAATAAAAGTATTTGATGACAGCACGATTTTCCTGCTTTTCCATTTTTACGAAAACCACAGAGGCGTCTTGTTCAGCGTGCTGTCAAACCTACACTAGCAAGGAGATCGGGCTGAAACTATAGCTACAAGCTATCCAAGGATGGTACTATAGAATGTCACCTCAAGGTAGGCCTAGTGGCGTCATCTCTTGGTTAGGCCGGAAACTTATCAATCCACCCTCGTATATCCATCCTTCGGAAAATCAATTAAGTATCTGAAGGTCTACATTTCTGTAAATTTTTGAACACTAACTCAAAGGACGCTTTCTCCCTTTGTATCTAGACTATGTTCCTACTGACTTTCCGACTGCTTAGAAACGTAACTTATATAGTCTTGGTCTTGGCCTTGGTCTTGATTTTGCCTTTTGGTCTTTTACTTATGCTTCTTGTTTTTGTACGACTTGTCGTAACAGTTTTAAAAAGTTGCAAATGTGACGGCCGAATTTTTCGATATTAAATAAAATCAGCTCCAATGTACAATAATATTAAATGTCATAAATTACCAGTTTTAAATATTTTGTATCATGTAGCAAGACGTTATCGTCTTGGTTCGCAAAAAAACTACGATTTTTGTGTTGATAAAAATCTTTGAAAAGCAACCGTCTTGTATCTAACCCTAAAAACGGCATTTTTTCTTAATCAATACAACAAAAGCTGAAGGTAGAATGGCCGAATCCTAACGTCCATTTTATGATAAGGGCGAAAGCCGTCCAAACTCCCACACATAAAAATGTAATTCATAGAATAGTCACGATTATAAAAGGTGAAATCGTAACAATCGTCGAAAAGCATACGAAAAAGCAAAAACAGAAATCGTCTGTTGGACTATAATGAATTTCGCCTACGATATTTTAAATAAGGCCGTTTTTATGTTCTATTTACATTTGGCACTACATTATATTAAATCTCATAAAAGTCATCAGTCAAATAATGTAAAATCCTAACTTATTAGAATTTTAAAACATTGCAAAGGTATGGAAAGGAAACTTACGTACTAAGCGATAAGTTCGGAAAAGTAATGTAATCTATCTTTCTTAAAAACCGAAATCTTTACAATTGTTTAATAATCTTGAGATGANAAACAAAAAAAAGTCCGGGGGGCCACATCTGGGCTGTAGGGCGGCTGCGGAAGCGTTGGGATGCCGGCCTTGGTCAGGTAGCTGTCCACAAGAAAAGTGGTGTGAGCCGGGGCGTTGTCATGGTGCAACTTCAAGTCGGCTGCGATGTCTTGTCGGACCCTATTGACCCTTCATTTGAGTCTCTTGGCGTTGACGGTTTGTCCATGAGGAACAAATTCATGGTAGACGATGCCTTTCATGTCAAAAAAGACAATGAGCATCGTTTTCACTTTGGATTTGCTCATTCTTCCCTTTTTTGGGCGAGGAGACGCCGGCGTGTGCCACTCGGAAGATTGCCTCTTTGTCTCGGGATCATACTCAAAGATCCATGACTCGTCACCTGTGATTACGTTATTCAAAAATTGGGGGTCACTTTCACACATGTTTAAATTTTCTTGGCACACTTCCACTCGCCGCAATTTCTGGTCGTCAGTGAGCACTTTTGGGACCATCTTCGCGCACACCTTGC